ATATATATATATATATATATATATATATATGCACAACAACCACATAAATATTCATTACTGCTATTATTGTCAAGATTGCTCCAGTCAAGTCAGTAGATCAAGTGAACTGTTGATCTACCAATCTATGGGATAAACTTTTCACAAATGATCATTCTGGCAAAATAATTAAATTAGATTACTAGAATATTTATTGCAACAAAAGTAATTGCTATTTTCATGTAAAATATGAATAAATTTCAGGGGATTGAATACTATGCAATATTTGAATTCGATTATCGATTTATACTGAATGATAGGAAAATGTTTAAAATATGCTGCTGAATATCGAACTTTTATTACTGCTGCGAATAAGTGATCTACACGTTTTTTATTCTTCATAAAATAGTATAGGGTCCTAGGAAACTATTTACACATTTTCTTCTTTTTAATTTCTTATCTTCCTTCACTTTTAACCAATTTAATCAACTTAGATCAATTTAAAGATCAACTTAAACGCTTGCAAAGTATAATTTAAAACATTACTTAGATTTTTAAAAACTGCAAATATACGAAAAAATAAAACCTACATACCAAATATTTCAAATTCTTAAACGAAGTCCAGAAGTTTTTCACAATATTAAGTTTAAAAAAAGTTTTGACTAATAAATAATTCATTTACTAATTGGTACTCTTTGCAAGAGAAAAATCGATAGATCTTTTTAATGATCTAATTAACATTATCGCATTGCGTTTCATAAATTGTGACTGGAAATAAATATGTTTCGCATGCATGTTTTCTAAGATTTGCACTTAATCAAATGCCATCGAAAAGATGATTCATTTTGCAGTTTATGCAAATAATAATAATAATAAAAACAATAATAATAATAATAATAACGACCACAATAATAATAATGATAAACACAAAATAAAGCAAAATTATATTGAATGTTATCACTAACATTATGTTTCAGTCGTTAATATATATATGCATAGTAAATGGACTTGTTCGTTGCAGTTATAACAAATTATGATTGAAAAGATTTCTTTTGCGCTGTTTAGGAAAAGAAAATAAGCATAAAATACAAATTTGATCATCAGTTACGATTAAAAGTATTAATTAAAAACCATTATTACCTAATTTAAATCATTAATTAGCGAGCAATACAAAACAAACAAACTAATAAAAAGTTGAATAAGTATGAGTACTAATACTTTTATCATTGCTGATACAAAGTGTTAAGCTTATAGAAATGAAGTAGATTCCATAAGAAGCCTAACACTAATATAGCATCAAATATGTATGCTTCTACTTACATGCCATCATATTTAAATACATACACATGCATACTTTTTTATTTCACAATTACTAGCATAAGCATTGCACAGATACACATACATAAGGCACATATACATGTACATATATATATACACTCAGTATGCATACATGCATAAACACTATTTGTTGGAACAAGAGCTGCTGTTGAGAAAGCTGACTAATGTGCTCTTATATATAAGAAGAAGCAAGCTACTTACATTCTTCCTAATAAAGCTGCGCGATTCGCAATCATTTCGTTATAATACCCCATAAAAAGTTTATCAGTTAAAATCTTTTAGTTTAAAGAAATAACAAATATTAATTTGTATAGCATTTAAATCATTACAAACGTAGTTTCTATTTCTGTAGCATAATTTTTATTCTCGTTCTGATTGAAAATATATATTTGCTTATTTAAAGTATTAGTATGTATAGAGATAGCAATAGTGCATCAGCTTTCTATTGATTCATAGCAGCTAAGAATCATACATTTCTTAAATCATAAATAACGTATTTAATATGCTAACCAATACTATTCATCTACTTAATATTTGTTTTTAGTGATACGAAAACACCTATTATTCAATCAACTCAAAATGGTGATAATTAATTTTAATGTTGGTGGTCAACAATATTCAACAACAGTTAGTACGTTGTTAGAAGAAAAGCAATCAATTTTCACTCAAGTTAGTTGTAGCTTACTTTACCATCAAATCCAAATATATTTTTCAACTCAAATATAAAATACGTAACATATTAAAGCTTGTTTACTAATCATAGTTTAATTGTTATTGTATTACAGTAAGTAATATCACTTTCTTTCTACATAACTTAGTTTAGTCTAATTTACAGTACTCTCAGAACTGAAGCATTTTAAATTTCAAGAAACTGTAATATAATTGCAAATTTTAAATTAGTGGTTTACTGGTGGAAATATCAAACCGCCCCTGGAAGAAGACAATAAAGGAGCGTACTTTATCGATAGAGATCCAATTAGGTGAGTAAAACATTGTACTAACTTTGAAATCACAACCTATTCATGAGATTTATTTGCCTTAGCAGTATGTCTCAAAAATTTATTTTGCTATGGCAAATCCAAACATTACTACCATATGTTTATTTTTGGAGTTGCAAATAATTCAAGAATAACCAGTCAAATCTGCTAATTCCTTATCCACTTTAGAATTATAAGCGTACAAAAATATAACTTTTATATGTTTAGTTTTGGAATAATCCTCAACTACCTACGTTTAAAGTCAAGCAAACAATTATGGCAAGCATGTCTACCTAAAGACCCAGATCGCCTGGCTTTGCTTACACAAGAAGCTGAGTATTACAAGTTCGAACTACTTTTAACTAATATAACTAATAGTAATGCAAATTTGTTGGCTTTATCAATATTTCAAGTAAACACATAGTTCACTATTGACTAAAATTCTATAATTATTCATAACTAGATAAACAAGAATTCATGATTCTTTTACAACAAAATAATCGTAATTTCCAGACTGCATCAATTACGCGAACAAGCGATAGCACTACTACAGAGCTGTACGGAAAAAACACATCTTCCTTACGTGAATGAAGTAATTCCTTATAACTATGTTCTAAAGTTTCTTGCTTGTTAATGAACTTGATGCTTTTACATATATCCTGCTGAAACTACAATTCATAAAGTATAGAATATTATTGCTGGGATACATTCCATCAGTATAAACAGTGTATAAAGCATGATATCAATAATTCATATTGATCACACAACCAAAGATTCATATATATAGAAGCATGACAGAAATCATCAAAAAGCAAAAAACACAAAAAAAGGAACAAAGTGAATATGGTGTATGTTGCTCGAAAAAATAAAAACTATCATTATTTGCAGGTTCTTGCAAAGAGCTTTAGCTGTCCTCATGGCCTTGATGAACGAGCTTTGAAAAAATGACTGATAATGACGAGCAAATTAAACCGAATACAATTCATTAGTGTGTAACAAAACTTCATCATATTATTCTTTCCTCCTATAAAAAAATATATAATTCGATCTAAAACTATCTACTTCCTACTTAATAATCTTCACAGTGCAATTATTCAAAACACGAATAGTACAAGAAAAAACCATGAGGTTATCAGGTTACAATGGAGAAAACACGGATGCAGCAAATACCAGATCACATTTTGTACAAATAATAGCCTGAGGTGAATTTAAAAAAATGACACTGAAATGCAAACCTTAAGTCACACATGTACAATGAAGTAAATTACTAAAAGTGAAAATTTGCATTGGTTTAAAATTTACAACGACGGAAAATGGAACAAAAATATAAGACTTAGTTTTAAAGTTCACGTGACCATAGCCCTAGTCTATGCATACAAAAACAGGAAAACAATAATATTTAACAAACAACTAATTTTCAAAAGGCAACGTAATAATTTGGATAAAAAATGCAATACTAGTCATACTTCGCTTTTACTGCTATTTTCATAACCATCTGTTAAATGCTAAAATTTTTAAATGCATGCAGTGAAAACCCGAAAAAACTGTTTTCCAGATTACATAAAGTAATCTAGATAAACAATGTTATAAAAATCGCACCGTCAAATTAAAAGCACGTACAATATTTAAAGACCAAGAAACAAATACGAAAGCAAATGACTTAAATGAAAATTGGAATAATGCAGCTCATAAAAGTAATCCATACCAATAAAAGAAACATGTAATTATTAAAGCATCTCAACAATGAAAGCTACATTAACATAAACCTAATGTGCTAAGAGTATTTTGATAATTTTGTACCAAAATAAATAAAAAATATGGATAAGGAAAGTAAGTTTTTTATAAAAGTTCGAATGATGATAATTAGTTACAGCTTTGTACATCAGTTTGTAATTACAATTATTAGAAAAAGAACTGAGAATAAGTCACATTGAGAAAGATTATTTTCAAGCTTCTTACAATGGAACCACTGCTAATAAAAAAACAAAAAGAATCCAAATGTTTTCACAGAAACCTAAAGCACTCAAAATTTACTCTATGACTGAGTCAAATATTACTTGCAAGTAGTCATATTATGGTTTAGAACGAATGAAAAGTATGAAATACTCTCAAGCTGCTTTTCATAATATAAGAAACTGCAAGTACTATATTATTAAAGAAAAAAATATGTATAGTGTAATAAAAGTTATTTAAATTTGACATTTAAAAAATACATAGAAGGAAAGAAGTTATGGTAAACGATTCATTTGAATTGATATCAATCATTGGTTACTAAATTCATTTTGTAATAATTGCAATGTTGTTGAAACATTTTTTGGTGAGATAATGATAATTAGCAGCATCATATTGTACCAATTTGTTTACAGATTCTACTGACATTCGATCGGGTAATTACGTACACACGATACTCTAAATAAAATTCTATCATTACGACTTTAGTTTGCTCATCAACCTATTCCAGTTATATGTGAAAATGATTTTCTGTATGACTAAAATTATATGAAGCAGAAAATTTAAGCAATAACAACAGAACTGAAAACATCAAATACTAAACAAATGGTAAAAATTTTTTGAAAATTAAACAGAAATAAACGACCTATTAAAGCAATGGAATAAATATGTATCCTAATATTGAAATCAGGAAGAACCAGACTTGACACAACCAGCGCCTAAAAAGAACCAGCATGTAATACTGTTTAGAAAGTAATCTCATAAAAATGTTACCTTGATTGCATATGTTTGACAACATAGAGCAAATGTGTCAGCTTATCACAGCTTCGTAACTATATTAGATAACTAACTGACAACCTTTCGTAAAACATAATTATTCCTTAAAATTAAGTTTAAACAACAAACAAATTTCAATACCGATGACCATCAATCCGGACAACATTGTGCCTGCTCCTCCAAATATGAATATATTATCGTAGCCACTAAGATTATCCCGTATAAAACCTAAAAAATATAAAGTTTAACTCAAAAAAATAAATTATAACTAATCTTATCAGAGAAATTAGGATATAAACCGACTAAATTAGTAAAAGGAAAGAATCTATTAAAAATTTTGATACTCTACAATCCAAAAAAATCTTTGTTACCGACTGATGCCGGGCCAATAAGATTCCCAAGACCTTCTACTAAACACAGAATTCCATAACCAATTTGAAAATTATATAAGCATAAAATCTGAAGCGTTATCACAGATGCTAAAGTGAAGTTGGCACTGATAAAAAAGCCGAAACCAATACAAAGTGACATCAAGTGAAAGTAAGAATTTGCAAACGGAACCAAAGTAACACATAGACCGGCTAAAGTTATAAACAATCCATACAATAGGATAATGTGCTGAAAGATATAGAAAATGATTACAACATTCAATAAAAGCTGGTAAGCCTAGTAATGAAAATATGATATCAATCAGGAAAATTTTTAAAATTTCCATTACCTATGGCTAAAGACAGAGTTTTTGTCTTGTTTTCAAAAGCGAAATATTTTATTTTCTTTTAGACACAAGTTGAACCCTACTTGTCTTGCTCGATGCCAATCAGCAAGAACACCGCAAATCAGCATGCTGACCATATTTGTTAGACCAATACCAGAAACCAGATATGAGGCTTCTGTTTCAGTTAAATTGTGATTTTCGACAGCATATTCCGGTAAATTGACATATGGTATGTCGAAGAATATATACAAGATGAATGTACTCAACAGGAAGATGCAAAACTTTGGAACTAATAACACTACTTTCACGCTATCAAACCACTGCAAAAATGATTTCCGCAACTGAAAAATGCCCCAAAATTCCATTGCTTCTGAACGTTAATAAGTCAAATACAAATAAACTAAGAGTGAATTTAGAATTTAACATGTAAGCTATAACATTTACTTTTTGCAACTGTGCCAGTCGTTGCTTGCGCTTTTTCAGATAGCACAAAGTAGGTGCAGAAGGTATTCGTCGACACAAGACAACACCAAATGGCTTAGCTTGCGACATAAAGTTAGCATTGGTTGCAGGTACGCGACTTTGTGCTGGACTGAATGGAGTCAGTTGATGCGAATTGCAAAAATCATGACTTGCAGGAACAATATCTTTTGCTGCATAAAAAACAAATTTGTAATGATGCATTTCACTTATATTTTGTCATATATAATCTACTATTCTGAAATTAATCCAGAATTTTAGTTCCCATAAAAATGACTACTCAGTGAAAATTTGATATGAAGTAATCTTGAATGATGCAGTCATTCCATTAACACTAAACCACTTTAAACTGAACCTTTTTGCTGCAGTACTTTAAATACAACAATCTTTCAAACATTATGGAGGTCTTTATCAAAACTGATTTGAAAGAAAAAAATCAAAACTTATTAAGATACTTTATAGCTAACATACAATTTTTTACGAGTCCATCTTGAGCTACTACTTTTCTATCGTTTACATCATCTTCTAGCAGTGGTTGTTGCGTAACATTTTCTTGAGTCAAACTACATTTCGTTGTGCAATCCTAATCACAGTTACAATACAAAATTCAAGGTCGTGATTATGCATACAAACAAACAAATGTGATGAATAAATAAAAAATCAATAAACGAACTTTAAACAGTAATACTAGTCTTCAACTAACACTTACACATTTGGAATAAATGGCAGCATTTTGCCCTTTTCTGCTTAAATTTGTACCATTTGAACCACTATCGCTACCATAACTACTGAAAAGAGTTACCTAACGAAGTGAGTGGATAAGCAACGTAAGTGAACGTAAGCATACTGTAACGTTAAAAAATTAACATAATTTAAGTAATAGTATCATTTTTATCTTTTGAAGATTTTTCTTTTTCAAAGCATACGTGACCGAAGGCAGACTTAAGTTCGAGTACAGAATGATATACCTTAAATTTTTGAAAAAGTTGAGCAACTTTTAGTACTAACTAAATTTATTTCTTGCTTTTGACAAAAACCTGGATTATTTTAAGAAATACATTACCCAGAAGTTGATGAAAGATATTTTGCACTGGATTCAGATACTTCACTCGACGATATGTCTATAGCTTTCGCGGAACAGCTTTCATTCGACCAAACTTGGTTATTGCAAGCATCAACATCTATGTTACGTAATTCCTAATCATAAATAACAAATAATACGACGACTTTCGACTTTCTGTCAGAAAGCATAACAAACAATGGTTAATTAATCACTGATTGGAAAATTTTTTAAACACACCAACCATAAGCAAAAATAGAAATATACCAAATTTTGATGTGCAACATAGTCAGCAGCAGATATGATCGCATGTTCAGGTGCATTGTTTGGGGAATGCAAGAATTCATTTATGCTATGACTTCTTGGTAATGATATTTGTAACTGATTTACAACAGTTTTTACCTACAAAACATAGCATTAATCCGAAAAGAGCATAAATCATAAAGGCTAGCATTCTGTAATAAAAATAATTAATAAAACAACTGCTTCCTCTGAAAATCATTTTACGTAAAGAAATTAAGTGGAGGTTTGATTTCAAGTGTTCAACAATAGCAATGCATTATTCTACTTCTTTCCGTAAACTACTCCAGAAACAAGAGTGAAATGCAGAAGGTACTGACCATTTTAGGAGATAACTAAATTTTTAAATTAGAACTTGATACAACAATAAGATATTTATGACAGTTTACTCATACCAATTGCAAATTTGAAGACCGGTCGATAATTTCCAGAAATTGGATAGCAAACGTTGGTATTGCAGGTAGTGATACTGCACGGCGAGAAATTGAATGCATGTGCATAAACTTCATCTAAGTTTGAAGCTCATAATTGTACTAAGCTTAAACGTAAAAAGTTTCGAATGCATGTTTAAAGGAAACGGCATTTGAAGCAACTATATCTTCAACTCAGCACAATTCTAACAACTAGGACTTTAATATAGATAAGTAAAAACAAGTATAAATTAAAATTCATGTATTTAACAAAAACATGCATCATACCACTCTACTTATTAATGCTGCAAAAGTACAATTTGAAAGCTTTTACAAGATTGACTGATGCTTCGCAATTACAATAATCACTAAAATTAAAGGAACAAGCAGTACATGGAAATTCATACTGTATTTGTTCGGGTGAATAAAGAAGACTAACAATGAAAATAAGAGAATTATTGCCAACATTTCTCGTAATCCTCTTTACCTTTTTACTCTTAGCTTTTTCCGCGAGTTTTTTATTCTCGTGTTCAGCAGTATTACGAGGCGATTTGAGATCCTACAATGGATATATAGGCGAATAAAAATAGAAGGTTCTATTCACAAAATTCCTTGTAAGAATTATTCAGAAACTGTAGAGAAATTTGACAGCACACAATAAGTATCCTAAAAACGCTGCCCACAAAACTCAGCTATGAAAGTTGCACATTACTCAAACAACTAGCATTTAAACCTTGTTAATTCACAATCTTTCATACAGTTAATGAATCATATATCTGTAATAAGTGATAAAGAAAATAGTGAAATTACCTTAATTATAAAACCACAACCAGCAAGAAGAAGCAAAAGAAATCCCATACAAATAAAAGCTGAACGCCAACTATATTTAGTGAATAGCTAAATAGAAAATAAAGTAAATTCGAGAACATTTAATGAAAAAAAGACAGCGAACAGTTCACCAGATATTTTACGATAAGCAATAATAAAACATTCATTTTAAATTCATTCTGAACAAAACCAAACTGACCATCTCGATAAATGGTGCAAGAACAATTGTACCCGCGCCAGAACCGCAAACAGCAAAACCCGTTGCAATCGCCCTTTTTTTCTTAAAAGCAAACAGCAAAAGAAAACACGAATTGAATGTACAGTGAAAATAATGAAGTAAGTAAAAAAACGACAAGTTTTTTTACTGCCGAAAATTTTTTAAACTCTATTTACTTCATTACAGTTTTACCTCAAAGTAGTAAGTGACAGCAACAATAGCGGTGTTAAAACAAAAACTTAAGCCAATGCCAGTAATAAACGCAAACGAAAACAAAAAGTGCCAGACATTAAACGCAAAAAAAGATAGAAATCCACCAGCAGCTGCTATTAATCCACCTATAATTGTCATGCGTCTGAAAACAATATTTTTAAAATTAAGTTAATGTGAAATAGAGTTAATTATATTAAGCAGTATATTCATACTTTTGAGTTGTAAGATTTTAACAAAAAATTACACACCGACAGCCGTATATATCAGTTAAAGCACCAGCAAGCGGTCCTGATAGCAATGGTATGGACAAAAAAATAGATCCAACTACACCGGACATTGTTTTTGTTGCGTTAAAGTATTCTTGAATTTCTGGGAACATTATACCAAATGAAAATGAAATACCTGAAAATACGAAAATATGAGAATACGAGGAAAACTTGATTTTTATCAATAAATGTGAGCAAAATACTTTATTTCTGATTAATAAATATATCTCTACTTCGATATACAATCCATGCTTTTGTCGTATTATATGAAGAACTTGTCATGAAAATGAAATGAAATATGAATTTGAAAGACTCTCAGGACAAATTATTGAAACTACTCACTCTAAAAAGTCACTAGACAAATCCAGATCCAATTCCATTATAGGTTTAAAAATTAGTTTAGATTTTCTATTATTTCAAATTTCAAACAAGTGGGAGTAATGTATACGAAAATGATTCTTTTTACCATCACAAATAAAATGAATAAAAAATGATGCAAGGACGACGATCCACCCATAGCCGCCATCCAGTGGAATTGGCTGCTGCTTTAGTGATAAGTCTGTTGAGTCTGGTATATCTAAAAATAATGATCTATCATTATAATTGATGAAAAAATATTAAAATTAACAAAAATATTACTAGAAATACTATGACTCATAAGTTGTAATAAAGTGTCTCATACTAGTAACTTTGAATACAATTATTTAAAAATTGAAACAGATTACAATTGATGACTGATAAATATCTATCTTGATAATTACAAAAAATTAATATCGAAAACAAAATTTTTTGATTAGCACAGTCATTATGGGAATAATAATCAAATTAAACTAACCGCATTTTTCGTACAAAGACCACTGAGTTGTAGCTTCATTTGACTGCATAACATACCCATTGCTTTTATGTATTCCCTGAATTAAAAAATTATTGCTGTATAAATGAAACTCAAGATATTACATTGATAACAGGTAAGAAAACTTTTATTCTGAGTATTCAAAAACTGAATACTTGTTATAATCAAAAATAATTTACATTAGTAAATTTATACAAGTAGAAACAAACACTAAAACTTATTTTCTTTTATTATTAAATTTGAATTCTAATACAAGATGTCTAAAAAGCATCTATAATATAAACCAAAATATCATAAAAGGATGACATTGTAATTCATTACAAAAACGAACCTTTGCGTTAGCAATTGTCCATTGTGATGATAGAGTTGCTTCCATGACCCGTAACTTCCTCCCGTTTTCTTTTCCTCGCACTTCCTACAAGACAAAACATATCAATTAGATAATGGAAGATGAAGAAATTAAATAATTACTTTTAAATAACAACGTGTTATATTCCTATCCATAAATACAGTGATATACCATACTATTATATGAAAACACTGTCAGTAATAAATTCTCATGCATCCAACATTTAATGAATGAGAAAAGAAAAGTTACTCCTGAATATAAGAAAAGAAGTCAAGTAGACCAACAAATATCACTTAAATATTTGTCCACAAAAGTTAATTTGTTTTTCAGTTGTTTCGAATATAATTTCTCTTATGTCAAATTCAAAAAAAATCCAATACCACTCTTCATCTTTAAACTTACAATTAATTTGTTTATACTCGAAAACAATTTACTTAAAATTATAAATAACATCTAATTAAATTAGCAAGAAATTTGCTTGCGACATATTAATGTCGAAATAGCAACTAATAGATTAACTGATTATTAAGTTACTGCAATCGATTGGATACTTTTACTGCGTCAAATTCAACTTCCTTTCAATATCTGACTAATGTACACCTTTCAGTTTCTGCTATCTCTAAAACGCTCTACATTCATCAGTTTCCCTGTGGCTTGTATGAAATTGCTTATTTTAATGGTGCTTACCCGTCACGTGACTTTCATTCGTAATATTTGCATAACTGCTCGTTTAATCTTCGTGTAAATACTTTTTTTATGCTATATTAAATATTATACGGGATAGGAAACAGTGAAATTATTGAATTGCAATATCACTACTTTTTACATATAATGGAATTATTATATTTCGAAAATATTTTCAGAACATAAATTTTTTAACCATTTTGTAAGTAAATACAAACTTGTCTACGTTAGTCTGCTTGATAATTTTAATTTGAAATTTTGGAAATTATCAAAGTTTATTGACAGTACTGTATAATGAAATAGTTATTGATAGTACTATATAATAAAAGAATCGAATAAATTATGGAAAATAGTCCGCGAGAAAGCATGTAACTGATAAGAGACAATATATGCTTACTTTTATTTGCTCAAGTACTAGTAATCATATACTCACATCTCGTAGTTGAACAAAAAAAGTAAAAATTTAACTACCAAATTCTAACTTTTAGAAAACATGCAACCTAAAGCAGTTAGTTAATTATATTATCTTAACTATAAGCAAAAATCTGCATACTATCTACACCTGTACAGATTTAGAATGCATTTTGAGTAAGTAAAGTGTGTAGGTATATTTGTTAACAAACAAATAGAACAGAAACATCTAATTTGTTACTCTCAACAAAAACGTCCACATCTTTTCAACAATGATTCTTCGTCAGTGTGATATTTGTAAGTAATCTGGACGATATGAAAAAACTGTTAGATCGCCAAAATTACTTATAAACTTTTATTTTTCAAAAAATTTGTGGTATAACAGATAAGTGAGCGCATTAAATAAGCAAGAATTGAATAAATGATAAACTGATTTAAAGAAATGAGAATTTGAAATATGGTAGAAACGAATGAAACATTACAAAATATGAACAAATATTCAATATCTAGAAAAATTGAAATTGCAGATTAATTTATGAGAATAGTAGTTTACTGTTTTGGTAATTTCAAACATTTATAGTGCGTTTGATAACTAGAAAAAACAAAGACAAATCACTTATATTGATAAAAAATGAAAATTTAAATAGATATCAATGATATTTTACTATACTGACTATAAAAAAATAGGAATTCTTTTCAGTACACTCGTGAAGTCCACTTTAATGAAAAGAAAAATATTTGATAACATTTTGTAAAAAACTCAATTATTATTAAAAAAAATATTTTTAAAGATTATCAGAGGCCGTTATAAGCGAAATTGCAAGTATGGAAAATTAAACATTTAAATTAACATATTGTTGTAGAAGCAAGTAAGTTATACAGCTGTTAACAATTTTTGATAAACTTTTATGGATTTCTTTTATCAATTTATACTGATTTCATCTGATAATTTTGTAGAACGGAAAAATTAATGCGTGAAGCAAATTTTGCAGCTTATATCACCGATATGTAATTAATAAATCAAAAAAATTTTTGACCATTATGGATTAACATTTTTTAATGTCAATCATATACCACAGTTAATGGGGAATAATTTAACCTTTGATTGTTATTGTAATAATAGTGTTTTTATTCAAAAAAAAAGTATAATAATAGTTTGTTCAAGATAAAATAAGCACATTAAAATGTAAAATTAAAAAATTAGGAAAAAAGAAATTTAACTAGCTAGGAGCAAAATTTCCAACGAATATTGCAACATTTAACAAAGCAAAACTGTAATTTCCGCTTTTTTTTTAATAATAAAATGAAAAACTATTCTGCTCTAGAATATAGTTTGCTCTAATCTTTTTAAAAACATCACTACAATAAATAATAAAAATTATGCACACCTTACCTCAGCATGATTCACTTTTGCCCATAATTCAGAGTATAAAAATTGAAAAAACTATAAAATTGTGCAAATAAAAAAATTTACTTTCTGAATTTGAGTAAGTCGTATTTTACAGCACCCTGCAACACAAAGCATTAATACTTTAGAAAAGAAAAACAGCCAGATCACGTCACTTCATTATTGGATTATTTTTTTTTTCGTTCAAAATTTTTTATTTTCGAAATACTGAAATCAGCACAATTAAAATTTCCAAAAATATTGCACTGAAAATGAGACAATTTTTCTGCTTTTTATATCTTTTAGTTCTCATATGTAAAATCTGAACGAAATATTTATCAATGACGATAATACTCATTGCAGTTTAATTTAATATTCAAAAGAGAAGAGAAATGTGAAAAATAATAGAAAACATTTTGCACAATCTGTTAAAAATAATGATTCAGATATGATAAGTAGCTAAATGCAGAAAATAGCCCTATCAGTAGCAGAACAAATGCATATTTTAGTGTAAAAATGAATAATAATCTTTGGAATCAACAAAATTTAAGTATACAAATAAATAAACCTTAAACTCACTTTTTCATCACTCAAAAATGCTTTTCGAAATAGAACTGAAGCTAAAATCTATTTTATAAGCACCGAATTCAAATTATTTCCTCATTTCTATTCTGTAGTTTTATGTATTTTCAATGTAAATTTTAGTTATATGAAGCATGCTCATTCCCTTACATGCTAATTAATAAAACATTTTAAATTAGATTCCATTATCAACAAGAGATTCGGTCCTTTAAGATTTATATTAGACATTAAATAGCAAGAATATAAATTCAAAATTCTAAATGTATAATAGTTAGACCAATTGCCCCCTAAAGAAAATTCAAATAAAAATGTCTCAGTTAAAAATTAAGCCTATTAATTTTTTACTGAAGAGAGCATGCAAACAGTAATTAGAAAGCACGTAAATTAAAAGTAACTCTGATAAAGAATGAAAACATTATACTACGAATATTTACAAATTCAGAACCTCAAAATGCAGTTCACCACTCTGTCCCACCAAATATTCAAAGTCAAACCTATATTACAGTAGTTTTATAAAAACATGGACATGTGTGCTACTTGAACGTACTGTTCAAAAATTATTCTGCATATCGAAAGTTTTCCTATCCTACGTCTTCACTATGCCAATAATTCACAGATAGTGCTGTTGAATTTCGATTTTGAAAGCTAAGAATTTCATTTATGGGTATGCCCTTCAATAGATTATAGCATATAAAACTGCAATAAATTCTCCAAACACAAATTTTAAAATTTGCTGTACCATCACATGAGGGATAATATAAACAAGAGCAAGAGACTTTTATGGGGATTCCAATCGACTGAGAATTTTTCAGTGTGAAAAACTTATTCTCGAAAACTAATAAATTTCATGACATCACTTTTATGAACCACGAAAACATGCAAATTTCCTCCATAACAAAAAGACTTGTGTAACCAGTAGTATATATACTATGTGTATATTTTGCAGCTTGAGTTCCATTTATGAATGCATCCTCTAAAATATTGGAGCAAAATGGAAGTCATTCTGGGCTATTATTTGTTGTGTATCAATATTTTTATTCATAATAAAAAGATAGTCTGCGTTATTTCAGTTAGTTTCAAATACAGACCATTCAGTAGTGATTTCAGATGAAGCAGAAGAATACCATTGAAAATCTAGCCATTTCATTCTGACAACACAACTCACATCAGTTGCATCCGAAAAATTTATTAACTATTTATAAAACTGGAGCTGACCAAAAACTGAAATATTTATTCATATCATTGTCTTGATCCAAGTATGCAGATTTTGGACCAAAATTAAGTGAAAGACACTGTAATTTTAATATAGTCTATATTGAATTAACGAGGCGTAATAGAATTATACATAAGATACAAGTTTAGATGTTGGTTAATAAAACAACGATAATTTGGAAACAGCAAAGATTCTCACAACTGCTATTCAATGAATTACTTCAAAAAGACTGAAAATATTGGATGTTACTGATCACGTGACCTGGATTTTGGTTGCGTTGAACGCAATACCCGTTCCAGAAATTTTTTATCTGTAGTTAAACAAGCCGGCTTCAACCTGAATGAATACAACTTTCACTTCATATGACCACCATTCAATAACTGAATCGAGTCAAAATATAGGAACAGAAAAGTAAAACTAGATTAGACATGAACTTTTAACGACAACCTACCATCCTTGAGCTCCGACCATTTCATAACGTCGAACACCACGAGCCACGTCCTTCAGGATTTCTTCCGCCGCCCTCTTTTCCAGCTCTGATATCTTCTGCACAGTTGATGGATGCTTTTGTAAAGTAACCGGCTTCGATTGGTGCCTCGCCTTAACGATTAATTTGTCCAGTTTACGAAGCTTAGAATGATCACACTCACTTCCGGTCAACTCGTGATCTTTATTCTTTCCCATACCCCTTGAATGCGTAAATATGGCGTAGAAAAATTAGAAAAATGCCCAAGCCTATTTGACCAAATTGCGTCTACTTTAGTAACATCGCCCCTACCTCTGAAAAAATCAGTCATTATGTTTCATTTTCAGTCCTCTCAAAAGCTCAATATCTACGCTGGATAAATTCTGCTAGATGGTATGCATTACTAAAGAACGAAATAGAATAGTCGACTTTTCAACCGCGATTTTACTAGCTAATAAGAGATGATTTTTGAAGCAAAACATTGAGAAAAGTTAAAACACAGGTCTCTTTATGATATAAATACTTGCGATAGCGCGCATAGTATTGATATTTCCAATATTTTTAACAAGGAACATTTTATACAGTCAAAAAATGATAACCGATCAATGAAATTTAGAAGGAAACACTAATCACAGTATAAAACAACATAACATGAAGAATTCGGGAACAAAATATGTCTAGGAAAATTTAGTAAATGACTAATATAACTTGAATAAATATAAAGAAATTCTAATAATAAGAACCATGGCCGACATCATGCACAGTTGAAAAATTATCTTAATCACAATGTATAGAAAACGAATTTTCGAAAAAAGAGTCAAAACATGTCATTAGAAATATTGTGTAAAACCATTTGGACAGACACAGGAGGTGAATATCGTACATTTCAAAATTACTACTGACTGACAGAAAAAACGAACTCAAAAAAAAACTGATCACAGAGATAACAAGATGGCTAGCATTAGTAAGAGTCACTATAGAATAAACAGTTTAAGAATCAATGCACAAGGTTATTAAATATTAAATTTTGTTAAACACTGAGAAAGCCATAAAGAAAAAGCGAATCAGTCTAGAAAAAAGTTACTCAATCTAATTGACATTTTCAGCATGAAAAGAGTGGGATTTTAATATGCGACTTCTAGCTTTTGCAGTATAAAACTGTAAAAAAGTAAAAGCAGATACATTTAATTTTGTGGAATTCAGGACAGGTTTTCTACCACGCTGTTTTTCACAGTTAACCACACAAAAAAAAACAATGAAGTTTATGAACATACGTAGATTTTTGCAATATCGAAATGCTAGAAATGAGTGACGATTTTCTTACTCAATGGATCTACAATTATATTTAAACAGTAGCCCGCAGGACTTAACATTTAGACAAAACTAATCCTCTCCAGTAAAAAAGTGTACTAAAATAGAAAAACTAGACAAATACTATGCAAATATAAAAAGATTCAATGTATGTTCATTAACAGACGATAAACAAATCAGTAAAGACAAATAAGTGCAAGCAAGAATGTACGCAAAATAGTGTGGGATACTGATGGAGATAATTTTTTCAATTCCTCATGAAACTAATCCTACTAATAAACTGAATACTGAGGCTTTTAATAGGTTTCACTGAAATCTTTTCAAATTGCGGCTTCCAAACGTCTTGATGTGTAAAAAGGTGAAACAGTAGGTAGAACTGAGTGAGAAAATGATTCACAGCCTTCCTCAATAACTCCACTATCAAATGAATTGAAACTAAGTCGACGCATAAAAGAAGAATTTAAAGCTTGCTGGGAAGTGTTTGGGGAAGATATATTCATAACACTATTTGAAGTATTGCCTTCTATTTCAGATAAACCTGAGTCTCTTTCACGTGTCCCATCGCTACGATTAAACAATGAATGTTTATCCAACTCAGTTTCGATTCTCAATGCATCCATTTCAGCACATTCAGCAACTGATTCTTTTACATCTGCTACAAATCGATGTCTAAATTAAAAGAAATATTAAAAAGAATCCACATCGTACTCGGCCTAAAATATATAGAATGAAAATATTTTAACACACCGATCATCGTCTGTTTTTGAATTCAGATGAATCTCCTGCCCATCAGGGAGCATGATCTTGATACCATGGTCATAAAAAGGCGTCTCAAACATGCTGATTCGCAACCCTAATAGTGTCATCCAGGACCGCAATATGTACTGACAAGACGATTTCTTTTTCGAAGCCAGTTTTGCAATCTGCGATTGCATGATTCTTAGAGCACACGTAATTTTCACAACAGGTATTTAATGTCAACAAATTAAGATAATGGATTATCAAAGCAACAATCGCATAAATTTAAAAAATATTTTTTTGAAATTCCAAATTCCTATATTTTTGAATGGAATAAAAAATCATGTCCACCAGGAAAATTTAAAAAACTAAGTTTTCGTCACAAAATTTAAATTTGTAAAAAGTTATGGAGATTTACCACTAAAAGATCATTAAACAAGAACACTTCTCGCTGGTGAGCATTAGCAGGTTGTCGCTTATTACGATCAACAATTTGGTTCAGACGACAATAGCAAACGAGCCGACGATGAGGTTCAACTAAGTTCTGAAATGCAAACTTTTATAAATTATGAAACAAGAAATAACACAGCTTTCAAAAATCACAGTCGATCCTGTTAATATTCTAAAAATCTAACCGGCTTATCTTTGCCAATAATGCTTTGATCCACCACGAGCACTTGCGACACGTGATCTGATCCAGTGCTAAATGGTGAATCCCGTATTCGACGATAAATACGTACCAAAAGAGTTCTTAAAATAGTCAAAGAACGATAGCGCTGTCTGTGTAAGAAGTAAACAATAAATGGCTATTTTCGCTAGCAATGTCTAAAATTACTTTTCATCCTGCCTTTTATCAATTAAAAATAGTCAAGACAATTTAACCTATCAATGTCGTGCCCTGCATCTATTCCTCTCAAATTGTTGATAAAATCTCCTAATTTCATTTTCCTTGAAGGCTTGATATTAGGAGAATGAAGATCTGTATTCAACATTATAATAGCAAATGCCAAAATAAATACTGTGTCTTTACTGTGAAAAGCTGCAACTCGATCAGGATTGCAAGAGCTATAATGCACAGAAAATACCTGAAAAAACTAGTTTCAAAACGACTCATTATCAATAGAGCATTACACTCTTTTATCAAATGACGACTGGTGAAATCTTGATTGATTCAAGTTTTTCATATTTCAAGGTATTGGCTTTAATAGCATATAAGAACATGATTTTAGATTTCTTAATAGATATATCAGCATTTTTTAATCAAAAGTTTTATTAAGCTTAGATTATATAAAAGTTTTGTATGTATTTCACACAAAACCACAAAATGTAAACACACGGAGTTTTAAAAAGCACTAAATGAATTGGATGATGCTAAATAATTTTTTTCAATCTAATATTTGCCATCACAAAGAGAAACAGAAAAAATTTAGCACCTGCATAATTCTTTCAATTTTTTGTGCTTCTCCTGGGAGACGAAAAAACGAAAGCACATGTCTTAGTGCAACATCAACTTCCAATCCATGTAAATCAATTTGATCCACGAAATGACTAAAATTTTTATTAATTCATCACATTACAGCTCAATGTATGTAAAAGGAAATTATTAATGTATTGTTTAACTTGAATTTACAATATTCAATAATTCTTCTTTTCACTACAAACTACGGCTTCCTAGATTATACTTGTTTACAAAAATTTAAAAGCTTTTAATACTGTAGTAAATAAGCTTTGAAGTGTAAGCTGAACACTGATTTCATGGCTCCATTTTTGACACTTCGATGAAAGCAATAAAAAACAAAAAACATCTGAAATATTTTAAAAATAGAGTAGGCAAATAAAATTACTTCAGTACGGAAGACTGAAAAGAATTTCGTAAATGTCCAATGTATTCACCAATCATTTGTTTACTCAAACCACGACGATGCAATAACAAATTAGCAACTGCTAATGAATTGTTCTCTACAAAACCCCATTGAATAAGATATTGAATACCACATACAGGCTTTCTGAAATCGATTTTAATCTTTCTCCTACTAATTCAAGTTTAGTAAAGAAGTCAGTACTCTATTGTCCGAATAATTGATAGATTATTACATCCAATCCCTTTTATATACCAAATTTTAATTAAAATAAAAAACAAACTTGTTGAAAAAATTTAATGCTATCCGGTACTGACGTCTTCTCTGATGGTCTGAATACCTACGACTACTTGAAACAGTACTGCAAATAATTTTGAGATTAAATTTTTGAAATTTGATTAGGCAGCTCAAAGAACTCGATAGCAGAAGTTGAGGATAGTAAAAATAAGAAACTCGTAGCAAAAACAGATCCTCAACCTACTAATTATTAAACACTTTTAACTGAAGTACAATTTTTAGAACTACACAATATTCAATAAGTAGTTCACTAAAGAAATACAACGATAGTAGCTATTTCTAAGACTGTTTAAACTTGACACAATGTTTTTATAATTCCAATTTCAATCTATTGGGATTGAGATTTTAGCTTCCGTACCTCAGAAAGATAACTAATGAGACCTTTCTTATTGAACAGAAAACCAACCACATTTCGTCTTAAAAATCAAAGCTTTCACACAAAACAGACCTTCAAATTATTACGTTCATGCATCAATTTCAAATAAAACATATACTTTGCAGTCTGGCAAGATGTTTCACGTTTATCAAGACGAGGAAGTGAATTAGAATGGCCACTATTTCTAGATGAAGATGATCGAGGTAGCCAAACATGAGATGTTGAGTGCGCATTTGTCACAACACTAAATAAAGATATAAAATTTCAGTTTAATAAGTCAAACATAAATTTTAGGAAATTCACTAGTGCATTTTGTTTTACTTCTAAAATAGTACAGCGAAACCTTTTTTGAGAAAGCCAAGGTGATAAGTATTCTAATGCAGATTGATGAGAGCTACAATCGAGAGTGTTAATGCCAATATTCCTACCAAATGACAGTGGTACTTCATAATTACGACTTAAAACTGATGAAGAAACATGTGGAAATGATGTTTTAGACCTAAAAGTTAATAGAATGTAATAAATTAGATAACATAACTACTGCGTATCGACTTCTAACCAATTCATATCCATGGTGATGAATGATTAAGCAGAAAAATGAGCACATTACCTGACTGAACTAACAGAAGATTGATAACGACGTGCTTGAGAATCACACACATTCCTTACAGGAGATATATCGTGCCTTAAAGCACCTCTACATCCCTGACTGTTATGATATACACTATTATTTTGAATAGGCACTACTAAATGTTTCCACTGTCTTAATAAACGAGACTGGCGGAATGCTCGTTGTATGCGTGTCGCTGCAGCATGAGCACGCAGACGGCCACCATACCGACGTTCTAGAACCTGAAAAAAAATTTTGTAAAATATATAACCAACATCATACAAAGGTCAACCTTCTTTTCTGCGTTACTGATACTGGAATCAGATCGTGTTTCGGCACTCTTCTTATAATGGCCTTGCACTCTGTTTTGCCACTGTGAATTTCGATGGCTCATTTTAGTCCACTGATGAAAAAAGACGCTCTAAAGCGCCTCACTTTTCAACGTCATACGTCCAATGTATAGCTTTCCATACTTTCTGCATAATGCCAGATTCAACAGTGCTCGCTCCTTCTTCGAACCTGAGAAACAGTTTCTAGTTGATCGTTCGCAAGTAGTACTTAGAAACAACATCCAACTGCATGACTCATACATCTCACTTTCAACTTTTAGAAGCCAACACATAGATTATTGACCTAAAGCCACTACCCCTGCTTAGGACAGTTTTGGAAATCAAGTCATTCGCAGAATCATGAATTTTATTCCTCTTCATAATACAGAACTGAATGCAGGCAAGAAATCCTGTATTTGACGAATTCTTTTACATGTAACGAGCACACCCTCATTTACTTCTTGGCCTCCTTTAGGCTTTAATCTTCAGGGATTATACTTAACAAATACCACTGTGTAATGGTTTTATGGAAGTTATTCAAGCATTTTTCCTTTATGTGCTCGCCAACTATCCTGTTAGCTTCTTATTCCGCCCGGATACTTTGTATGCACAATAAGTGACATGAAGTAGTCCTCATAGAAGTGTTAGCATCACTAGTGAGGACACAGAAATACTTATGTATGTGTTGATATGAGATGGAATAATAATGAACTTCAAATAACGTTATGTGAAGCAAATCATATCTGATCGAGTCGAGGTATATATCTAATCAATAGTGCTCAAGTAGACAACCGAAAGGATCTCACTCCACTACTGACATGAATTATGAATTCTAAGAGGATAAAGCAACGGAGATCAGCATTGAGTGGAGGACGATTGCAGCCAGAGAGCCGGAATACGATCCAGCGCCAGAATCGATTATGCAGAAAACAAAGCTAACCTTTATGTGATATATATATATTACATAAATAAGGTTATTATATATATCACATATATATATATAATAACCTTATTTAATTAACAAGAATAATAACCTGCAGTTGCCGACGACATAGCTCATCAGATATTTCATAGGTTGTAAGCGCACGAACCGAAATCGTAGGTCCAAGCCACTCACTCAACATTCATCAACCAAAGAATCTGATAATATCTTTTGATACTAGAGTAATGATTTTATTATACTACCGTGAAACCATTAAACTTGACGTTTATACTAATAGCTTGAAATGTAATAAGAAAATTATCCAAAGACCTCTTTAAACTAATAATCTCTATGATTCTGAAATACTTGAATTGAATCATTCTGAAGTAATAACAATAAAAAATATTGCAAGAAATGAATCATTAACAGAGGTAACATTCAAAGAAATAAATATAAATCATTGCATGCTTACAACTATGTAATATAAGAATGACATCTTCTAAATATGTGTTACTGACCATTCGATTATTACACTCAGTAACAGGGGTAAAAAAATTAATAGTGACCATAAAGCTAAAAATTATCGGATTCGCAGCACAAAGAATTATCCACTGAGTTTGTTTAAAGTAAGGTTGTTCTCTTGTATGAAGCTTAATATTTTTACCTTTGTTATTCTAAATCTAAATGAATTAATATTTCTACTACAGCCAGTTTCTATACACAACAAGTAGTAAACATTACAGTAAGGTAAAGCTTTAGATTCAGTTATATTTTTGATTTAAGTAAACGTAAAATTATTGACAACTTAATGAAACAAGAAAAATTGAGAAACAAATTAGAAAAATTGTTAAAATTAATGATAAAAAAGACAATACTTTAAGATAATTTTTAAAACTAACTTTAATTAATCAATAATTTAGATAAATAAAAAACAAGCAAAATACTGCACAGGAGAAGCCATACACAATAAAAGGAATAAAACCAACATAATAACTAGCACGAAGCTTTAATCAATTATCTGGCAAAACTTAACAAGAAGTTCTGAAACTCTATCGTTTCTCTCTTAGTGATCTTTCTTCACGTACTATTGTCTATTGCATACTCTCTTGCAATAAACTGCTGAAAAAGATTAAGTAATGTTTAGATTTAGTTATGAATTTCAGAATAACTGCCACTGGTAATCAAAAATGATATATTTACGTGATTATATCTGAGCATGTAATTTAACTTGATACAGGGCAATTTATTTTCACTCATTACCAATTACTTATTGCTTTTCGGAATTCTAAAAATTGATTTATTGGTATTTTGTATTATTTTATATTTACATAAACGTTGGCATCATTCGTTTTTAAATTATTGCTGTTAGACAAATACTGAATGGCAAATAAATTATAGTTAATAGTTTTAAGCAATTATTGACTTCCAAAATATTCCAGAATTTTCGCATAGAAATAAATTATGTCGCTCACTGGCAAATTAGTAGCAAATTTAGTCAAATGTTGCAACTAAATCTGTTATTTACTTGTAATTGATTTAGTTTTTTGCAACAATTATGGAAAATACCAAATATCTTCATACTTGTGGTTGTTTTCAAATACATTTCAACTGCTAGTAGTCATTTCTTATCGTTTTTGAGTGTCTCATTATTGTATTAAAATAGTAAAAAGCTGTTAGAAATGTAATGTCTAGAATTCAAACTTGATCGTTTTATCGCTTGCAATTTTTTTTTCTTTTTTTTTGCAGTCCTCATGATTTGCATACAAAAGAGATTTTTGAGCCGGTGTGCTAATTTTCTTAGTAGCGAAATGGCGCAAACTTATTTTCGACTCATTACTGCAAGACTAAAAACGAGGAAGAAAAGTAAAACTGATCACTTAGAAACTGCAGATTGTCATTCATGTTTATTGCAACAGGAAACAGCAACAACATTAGCTTCCTTTTTTTACGATAAATTGGAAATGTTGAAACAATTGAATATTCTTATAAAAGGTCAAACTCATTTACAAATATCAAGTTATTTCAATCATTTTTGAGCAATTAGTACGACGAACATTATTTTATTTCAAAACTGTTTTGGTTTTCTTTTTCTTCATGCATTAAATTGTTTTCATATTTATATTAATTTGTTTTAAAGAAGAAAGTGATTCTGAAATACAAAAAATTGCCAAAATGGATAGCGATGAATTGACTGCAGAATTGGATGATATGGCAAATAAAATTGCAGATGCCCTAATACCAATTACAGAATACGATATGCTGAATAAATGTCAACTAGAAATAACTCCGTTGGTCATTTTTTATTGTTTTGTTTGTTACAATTGCAAAATATCATTTCTATTTCTGGAAATCGTTATTATTTTACTCAAATTCATTTACGGAATCGGAATTTTATATATTAGTGAGATATAAATGTATAAAATCATATTACTAAGAATTGAAATTTCATTATTCACTCAAAATAAAAATAAAGTTTTTTTTTTTTTTTAAGTGGCGTTGGTGGTGTTGAAGCATCTCTATTTGCATCTGAATTAACACAGATGTATCATAATTATACTCAATTTAAAAAGTGGAAATGGATACCTTGCCGAATTGACCCTGCTCCATCGGGTATGCTGAGGTTGACTTGTGCTGTAAATTTATATTAGTAAGAAAGTAATATTACGTTATAGGTGGTATACGTAGCGCAGTGGTTTTTGTTAGAGGTAAGGGAGCATTTCGGATGTTGCGCTATGAAGTTGGCGTTCATCGTGTACAAAGATTTCCATTAACAGACAAAACTCGTATGCACACAAGTACATCTGTTGTAGCTGTTCTTCCAGAACCAGAAAAAGTCAATTTTCTTTGTTATCATAAATATAATATTAAAGCGTCAATCTTTATTTAATTGAAAATATATTATTTTTGTTCAAATTACCTCTAGTTTCATGATCCATGGAATTTTGATCACTTTGAAATAACTTTATTATTGTTGAAAAATTGTGTATGAGGTGTTTTTCTAGATAGAAACTTGCTTGAGATCTAACGATATCAAAGTAGAAACAATGCGCGCTTCAGGTCCCGGTGGACAGAACGTTAATCAGCGTTCTACAGCAGTGCGCCTAACACATCGTGAAACGGGAATCAGTGTTCACTGCTCCGATGAGAGAACGCAGTATTCAAATATGGATGTATAGCATTGTTTTGTATTATGTTTATTCTTTTTATAAGCACTTTTCTAAATATGCGATTACTGTCGATACATATGTTCAACTTTTTTCTTCATTCGTATTGTTCTCTATGTACGCTATATTAACACTTGAATTTAGATAGCTCATAAGCGATTAGCTGCGATTCTTTTGCAACGGAAGCTAGATGAATCACAAAAACAATATTCGTCATCCAGAAAATTACAGGTTAGTCTCTGGATATAGTTGCGATATACATTCGTAGCATAATTCAAGTTTGAGCAAAATAAAAAAGCTAAATACTTATTTCAGGTAGGAACAAAGGCACGTGCTGAAAAAGTGCGTACATACAATTTTAAAGATGACCATGTAATTGACCATCGGTTAAGCAGAACTTGGCAAGGTGTAATGAACGTGATGAAGGGAAATACTGCTCTTGATGAAATAATTGATGAATTAAATGAATTATCAAAAATACAGCATTTGCAAGAAATTATGTGTGTTGATGGTTAAAATTCCCTAATTGTCCATTTTTTTACTGATAAAATTTTAAATTGAAGCACTTCAATCATTTGACTCGAGTGAATAAAGTTTGTTGAAGTACTCGTATTTTTTGGTTTTCTACAAATCCATTCAAAACTAATTTTCAAATATGTCTTATTCAATTTATGTTTAGAGAAATTGGCACAGAGTAATCCCACTGATTAGTTTTTAAGCGGCAATATTTTTGTATAACAGAATATTAAATGAACCAAATAGTGTTTATACTACATTGAATATTATGTGAAAAATCTCAAAGTTACTAAATCGCAGTGACCTTTCTCTCACTTTCTTCCATAATCCAATCAAAACTGTCAACATTTCATTTTCTTCCCCTGTTCTATTAGAATTCTTGTAATTTATTTTCTGTCTGTTCCAAGTAGCATAATTCTAAAACATAGCAATGTATTTGCACCTAAGGTTCATTACAGACAAAATTAACAAATTTCTAAACTGCTAATACTCATTTTAACAATCAAAAATCTTCCGTTAACTAATCAATCTCGAACTTCAAGTATAGAACTTTGAGATTCAAATTGAACAAAATCTAGCTATTGAGATCAATTTCGAATTGATACTTTATTTTTAAATCATATTTGTTTATTGTTTGATATATAGAATAAGGATAACACAAAAGTTGTCGTAAATTTTGATACCGTATCGAGCAGTTATGTTTAGACATTGCGCTCTGAAAATTACATCAATTATATAACTGCTAAGTATTATGATTTATTGTCGAGCATCATTTAAATACAAACGTTAAATTTCTCACCGCTAATACTCATTTTAACAATCAGAAATCTTTTGTTAACTAATCAATAAAGAAAAAAACTCTTTCAGCTTTTATCATTTTTTGAAATTATGTCACTTCTTCGATCTTCAAGACACCTTCAATATATTCAGAAAGTCATAAATCACAAGTGTTCACTGCCTCTCACTTTTCTACTTCCTCTCATCCATTGCATGCCCATATGCTCCCCAATCGATCTGTCTGCTTTTTCCATTCAACGAATCTCTCAATTCTACCTACTACACATTCGATCAAAAATGGTAGTGAAGGGAGTGGGATGGCTGTAAGGCAAACCAAAAACTGCAAATATTGTTTATTACTTAGCAGTGAATGCTTTTATACATTGTGTATTCCTTATTAATTTGACTTCTGAGGTCAGTGAACCAGCAGTGAGGGATAATCATCGCAATATTTCACTGCATTAGTTCTTTTTTCTCCTCTCAATTCCCAAATGCAAAATTCGTTAGCAACGGTTTCTGCACAAAAGTTCTGCTCTTTGCCTACAGAAGGTGAAAAGAACCTGAAAGCAATAGCTTAAATTTAAACTT